AGATGTCTGTGGATGTTCTGGGTGTAGAGACGCAGTAACTCTCAACTTCTGTTGGTAGATGTCATAACTCTAATGTAATCACATTCTACAATTGGGGGATCGGTGGAAGGCTGGTATAAACTGTTGGTTTTCAACCGCTACGAACCAGGTTCAATTCCTGCATTGGGCACTTTTTTCTGATAAAAAAAAAATGCTCCAATGTACCCCTATTCTTGCAAAAGTCCAACCCCACCAGTGAGTGCAAGTAACCAAACGGGGCTCTGGCTCATTCGTAAGTGCAAAGTCAAACTGCTTTTCACGTGTGTAGACATGTGGTGCACTTACAGTAAAAGCAGTCGCCTACTTCTACCCACCATGATTATCATGGCCTGTATCGCTGTATTAAGGATAAGCAAAAAAAAAAAATAATTCTACAAGTTTGTTGTTCCAAACATATCTTTAGTTGGATTGCATCCAATTGTTTGCTTGATGGATGAAATTGCTGTTTCTTATCCCCTTGTGTAAAGATTATACGAATTCCATGAGTTCATGCTCCTCAAGCTGTTTGATGATAAGCAGCGGCCTCTCACAAAGGTCCTGTTTAGTACATCTAATACAATGTGTTCTGGAGCTGCAGGTCCCAAGCTACATTTTGGGCAAGTGGGGTAGATTTTGTTTATTATGCCAAGAAACATCAACTCGCACAGTTTAACTTGAACTGAAATATTTCAGATTCCAATGCAGAACTTACAGGGCCGTTACTAAGATCTTTATAAGAAACTAGCCGAATGACCCGGGCAACGCCCGGGGTTTACCCGATTAAATGCTTTTATTAAAATACTATTTGTTGCAATTATAAATTGGCGCCGTGGATGTCATTCTTGTATAATATATAAATGAGTTTTAGAAATTGTAAAAAAAATATGCATCGGCCGGGAATCGAACCCAGGGCGCCCGCGTGGCAGGCGAGCATTCTACCACTGAACCAAAAGCAAACGGTGACAGAAGTGTCTCGCGCATTGGCGGCGCCATCGTAGTGAACCAATAGGAGGGCGCCATTCCAAAAAAAAAGCAAACCGTGACAGAGATGAGGAATGACGCTCGTAACTGTATATAGAATTATAACTATTTTTGATGTGTATATTTCTTTTTAAAATAAAATAATTTTCTACTGCCCTTACTGCAATGATAAAATAAGGTGAGGGCTTGGTTCACCACTGATGAACCAGGTCCTCCCATTATTTTATCATTGCAGTAAGGGCAGTAGAAAGTTGTTCAAAAAGAAACATGCATGAAAAATGTTTAAATGTCTTATAACAGATGACATACTAATACATTATATTAATATCTTTATCATTATGCTCTGTGCAGTTCAGAAACTCTAGTGAATTTTTGAAATCCCCTTTTGAATTCTTTGTATCTATGGAACATATCTTTAATAGCACCAAACAACACAAAATTTAGAACAGGCCATCTCAAGCCATTGAAGATAGAAAATAACAACAAAATCTACACCACTTGCCCAAAATGTAGCTTGGCACCTGCAGCTCCAGAACACATTTTGATCTGCATTAGATGTACTAAACAGGACCTTTGGGAGAGGCCGCTTCTTATCTTCAAACAGCTGGAGAATATGGACTCATGGAATTAATGTAATATTTATACAAGGGGATAAGAAACAACAACATAATCTTCAATAAGTTGATATCCTACCTCTATAAAAAACTCCGCCTTTGCCGGTCCCAAGCCCGGATGAAAAAGGAGGAGGGGGAGCAGTAACAAGCTCACTAAAAAACCTGGGCTCAGCTGGCCCGGCTGATAGTACCCTGTAAGGACTCCAGGGATACAGTATGAGCAGAGTTTTGTACTCCATGTTAGGAGCGGCTGCACATGGCGTCTGTTCCTCATGTCAGAGGTGGCCATTTCTTTTGGAGCTAAGTCGGCCTGCCACTGAGTAGTGCTCCCAGTCTTAATGACAAAGGTAGACACATTCTACTTCACACAGTCATGATGGTTGTCAAACAAGCTTGATACCCTAATATGATTGAGTGGAGATAAGAAAGAAGATAGTGTCAGTGCTGTCTACATAGTGGCATAGAGTCATGATAGTGCATTGCTCGGTGTACTGTGTGTAGAAAGTACAAACATCTTCTAGTTGCTAGTGGTTCCAGCTGGCTTCCATCATTCTTCATTCGGCCTCTTCCTTGATTTGGTGAAACATTTGGAACACAAAGGTTATCTTCCACTATCTAAACACAAGGTAATAAGACCAAATAAATAAATAGTGTGTGACGTTTCGGTAACAGTGTTGTTACCATCTTCAGACAAAAGTATTGAATGAGAAATTTTACCAATGGTGATTTTATATTAGATAAAATTCATCATTCAATACTTTTGTCTGAAGATGGTAACAACACTGTTACCGAAACATCACAAACTATTTATTTATTTAGATTTGGTCTTATTACCTTGTGTTTATAATCTATAATCCAAATTGTACCTTATCATTCCACTATCTAAATTTCAGTAGGATCTTATGAAGCAAGGTGAGTGGATCTGGTACCTTTAATAATATATTCTTTAGTGATACACAGTTTGCATCTAAAACTATACTCCTTGCTTTTTAAAATTCTTCTAAATATAAAAATAAGACAAAATAAAAGTTGTTTCCCCTCTCTAAATGACATGATATTCATCAAAGGCAACCTAAGGTTCCAACTGTGGATATAGCAACAAGGTTCTAGTGAGGTTCTCGAGATCTAGCAAGTGCTAGAGAAAGGGCAATCACATTTCACTGTTATGATAACACACAATTTGGATTATAGATTATAAACACAAGGTAATAAATCCAAATAAATTGTGTGTGACGTTTCGGTAACAGCGTTGTTACCATCTTCAGTTGGTACTCTGAAAGTACCATTCAGTACTTTTGTCTGAAGATGGTAACAACGCTGTTACCGAAACGTCACACACTATTAATTTATTTGGTCTTATTACCTTGTATTTCACTGTTATAAACAAAAGAAATTAGGGATTTACCATGTGTGTTGTGGTTCCAACAAGGTCAGCTTGCCATCAATGTGGACCAGAGAAGTACCCTAAGATAGTGGAGTCCCCCCACCAACATTGTGTCAATGAAGACTGGAGAGAAAGAAAACAAGAGAGTATAAAAAATTTTTTCATTTTAATTAAAAAACAAATATTTTGAAAAGTATAAAAACATTTCCATGATATAACAATATATATTTAAATAAAGAAGAGGAGGAAATTTACACATGATGGCTACAATATAAAAATAAAGTGGTGGAGGAGGAGGGAGGTCTCTACTGGAGGGCGGCTGTTGTGGCACCTGCAACACCCCAAACAATTCACACGGCAGCCGGACAGACTCAACTATACCTGGCTTATATACATTAGGCACAATTTGGATTATAGACACATAAGGTAAAACAGATGAAAAATTTGCCGGGAGGAAATTGATCCATAGAAGCATGGATCTCATGGAATAAAGTCCGCCCTAGACTGACGAGGGCCATTAGCCTGAAACCATGGTCTCTAGGTGGACACTTCTCAGTTTGCCAAAGTTGGTGTTGTGGCTTTGTCACCGACCCGAGGCCACTAGTTGTGGTGACAGTCAATAGATGGCATCAGGTTTTTGAGGCTTATTTTGACGGGAGAGGCGCACTATGCTTCTATGGACAAGGTAATACAGTTAAACCTGTCTATAGCGCCCCCTCTTTACTCACCAAAATAGGGTGCTATAGAGAGGTCACTTTTAATGTAAATCGCATCGTACTACGTATTTAAAATTGGGCGCTAAAGAGAGGAAGGCGCTATTTAGAGGGGGTGCTATAGACAGGTTTAACTGTAAGACCAAATAAATAAATAGTGTGTGTTGTTACACAGCTTCAACATACATGTTGTTTAGCAGCGTTGTTACAGAAACACCACACACTATTTATTTGGATTTGGTGTTATTACGTTGTGTTTACAATCTACATTAGTGAGTTGTTACATTAGATGTACTAGACAGCTGCTTATCATCAAACAGGACCATGGAATCTTTAGATGATCTAAAGAGTCAAAGGTCGCCTCTCCCGTCAAAACTAGACACCATCTATTGACCATCGCCGCAAACTAGCGACCTCAGGTCGGTAACAAAGCCACAACACCAGCTTTGGCAAACTGAAAAGCGTCCACCTAGAGACCATGGTTTCAGGCTCAGTCTAGGGCGGACTTTATTCCATGAGATCCACACGGATTCTAAAGGAATCTTGACAATCTGCCAAAGAGGTGTTTAGCTGGCAAAGTGGCTGGGCCAAATCTATGGCTAGAATATAGATGGAAATTTTGCCGGGAGGAAATTGATCTAAAGAGACGAAGGTCGCCTCTCCCGTCAAAATAGACGCCATCTATTTATAGAGTGAGTCAACAATAAGTGGAGTCCACTGAACCAGAAAGGTGTAAGAGTCCTAATCAAAGGTAATACAGGAATGAGATTTGCATGGTAAGAATCCAAATGTGAAGTGAGCTGTTGCAACACAGAAACATTCTATAGCGGGATGACTAGAGCTAGGCAAGAAATACCAATGTGAGGTGTTACAAAGGTGGGTAACAAGATGATAACGTTTGATTATAAATTACAAGGTAAGTCCAAATATACAACAATGATCACACCATTTATTTGGTCTTACATTGGGTGAGTAAACCCCACACAGTCATCTGAAAGCATCAGTTGTAGAATGTTTACATGCAGATTGTAGCTTAAATATTTGCATGGGCAATACAAGATCTTGCAATTTTAGGTAAAAACTCATTGTGAAAAATAGCTTTTGTTACTGGTATGGCAGATTGGCTCAATAAAACATATATAAACTAGAGGGACAAAGTTTTAATGTTAACCTTTTAAAAATTACTTTGGTCCCTTAGCCCACCAAGTGAGAAACCCTCAGTCTACAAGAAGACTCCCCAGTGGAGCTAGGGGACTACCCTAGTTCTATACAACATGTTGCTATCAGCTAGAGTACATGGTGGAAGGATGGTCTAAACTGTTGGTTTTCAACCACTAGGACCCAGGTTCAATTCCTGCATTAGGTACTTTTTTTTTCTGATTAAAAAAAAAATAATAACGACACTCAATTCTTGCAAAATCCAACCCCACCAGCGAGTGTGAGTAATCAAATGGGGTTCTGGACACAGTCAGTGCAAAGTCGAACTGCTTTTCACATGTGGTGCACTTACAGTAAAGTAAAAGCAGTCGCCTATTTCCATGGCCTGTACTACATGTATTAGGGATAAGCAAAAAAAAAAAAAAGCTAGGGTACATGGTGTTAGAACTGAAAGAACAGGACTAGATAAGATATTCTATTTTGGTACATTATTAAAGTTGTGAGTTTAAAAAAAAAAGAGGATATTAAAATCTTAAGATTTTTTTTTTATTAATGAAAAAAACTTTTTGAACTAGGGTTATTTTAGAAAATAACAATGAGCTCAGTAGTGCCAGCAGCAATTTGGTCAGTAGATTGTGCTACCTTAGCTGGTAATTTGGTAGGGCAATTCTTAGCATGGACCCACCAACACATCTTTGGCACATCTACTGTAATGAGAAAGTATAAAAACCAGAGCAAAATGTTCTTTTTGAATACTATCTGGCAAACACAGTTGGCTGATTGTAGCCCATAAAACTTGGGAAACACATTTCTTCTTGGTAACAAACATGTTGCGAGAGGCCAGCCCAAACAGGAGGTAAATGACATTACAAATGTATGTATTGGGCTAATTTGGAGACTCTTGAAGTACATTTACAACACTAGATTCTCTTTGCTCGTCATTTTCACGGCCTGAGAGCAAGCATTCATAATTCAAAATAATGACAAAATCATTATTAGTTATTGAAATAGTGTGTCTCTGCAACCACATGCGAAATGCTACTTTACAAATTGAGGACATTTGAGTGGTGTCCACATTTACCCAGTGGTACACAAAAAATTCCAAAGAGGCAGCCATTAATTTGCTCTTTCCTATTTGGTGAAAAGGGATGGATTCTAGCAGGTGATTAGTTGACACATTCTATAATAGATTATTGTGAAATGAAGAGTATATATTCCTGATGCTAAACAACTGCCTCAATGGGAAAGTGAGTTATTCATCTTCCAGTAAATTTGTCGGGTACAGCTTGTTTCAATTTTTTATAATGAAACTCTATTAAATGTCACACACGTATATATTTGGATAATTTACAAAAAGATGATTAAAACAAGAATATTAATAACTTCTCCTCTAGGGGCAGCCACATTCAAGTCTCCTGATAGAGGTTTTACAAAGTTTATGATTAATGACAAAAGTTATGTGATCTCAACAGATGTAAGAAACTGCTGTAATTACTAAGCTAGGGTTGTATTACAAGACACAGGGAAACACAAAATATTCACAACATACAGTATCCTTGTGTATGTTTGGATTCCTATCTACAATCCAAAATGAATTCACCATTTGACAGAAATGGTGATGGAAATGGACTGCATCAAAAAAAGGAGGAATACATTCAAGTTGTTCATTAGCTGCAAACACCAATAGCTAGAGTTTGATGTCTATACAAATGAGGGAAACACAGAATGACTGTTTGAGGTGAAATTTATCCTCAACCTCTTGGCAACTGAACAGCTTGCATCACGGTTTGCTTTGGCCATCAGGAACAAGTTTTGGCTGTTATTAAGAACTTGGAGTTCAATGATATTTATTGCAAGACATCTGTGTAGAGTTGCTGCAAAGTTTCAAAAAAAAATATATATATATTGTTATAATTTGACTAAAATAAACTCTTTGAGTTAAAATAGAAAAATAAACGTAGATTGAAGAGGATGTGTGAATTTTATCAGCAAGCTTTCGGACGCATGCGTCTTTCTACAGGCTTTACGATGACTCTAGATGTAGAAAGACCCATGCGTCCGAAAGCTTGCTAATAAAATTCACACAAGACACTCCTCTTCAATCTACGTTTATTTTTGCTATTGTTATAATTTACTAAATGATATTTTGGTGGAGATGCTGGGTAATTTAGGGAAGAAAAACTGAGGCTTGCTGAGCAGACCATGGGTGCTGTGGTCTTCATTTTCGGCGAGTGTCTCCAGGATTCCATTGCTGCGTCCAAACCCAGACTTCCCTCAAAGAAGACAATTGTCCCTATAGATGATAAGACAACAAAGCTGTTCTTCATGCCACAAGTATAAGAGCACAAAGGTACTAGGAACAAACTTCGAAGACTCAGAGGGAATCCTTGACAGAAACAGGTCAGTAGCAACAAGATTTGCAAGCTGTGAGTCATATCTCCCATAGGGAAGGAGGTATTTTATAAATGTTGATTTATTCTCGACTTGAAAAAAAAAATTCTGTGTCATCATGAAGTTTGACTTTCCTAATTTCCTACATGGCAATATGAGATATAAAGTTGCAAGAGGATGGTATTCATGGGCCAAAAGAGGCACCTATCCCTTTAAAAAAATGCATGAATGTATTAAATTAATATTGCATTTTTTGTTCATCCCCCCCAGTACAAGGTGGTGGTGAAGAATGTGCCAAAACTTGAATAACCAACAACTTGTACACAGAGCCATTTATCAGTACAACTGTTTTGTACTGGGGCCATGAACAAAGTGCATTTTAAAGGGAGAGGTACTTCTTGTGGTACGTACACACATATATATATACATACATACAGTAGAACCTCCCAGTTGCAGAGCCAAAGTTTCCTTAAAAGAGAGTTGTACCTCTTACCAGAGGGCTGTTTTCAAATATTTAAACACATTGCACATATTTTAAAATGTTAGAAATTTGCACATATGCACGTCTTACCAATAGATATTTCATCTGACAAACTCTTCCCATTTTTATACATTTGAATAATTTTAAATCGACCAGTAAAAGATCAAGGTTTTATAAACAGAAATTTGAAGAACACATTTCCCACATTTTCTAGGATAGTTCTATGATGATATTTAGGGCCTCCTCTCTGGTTGTTTTTAAACTTGAATGTCATCTATTACTGGGATTTCTCTGTTACTGCCATGAAAAAATTTTGGAAGGTCTTGACTCATCAGTGGTGAACCCTCCCAGCAGTTTGGCCAATTTAATCCACCAGACCACTTCTTAGAGCTCTAATACTGTATTGGATCATTCTGCTTATATACGCAGCACTGTGAAGGCTGGAATCTCAGAATTAGTATTCAGGCAAACTGTGGGCATATCTCTATCCAGATATATAAGGCACCTTTGTTGTTGCTGAAACATTATTTCCAATTTTGAACAATAGCTGTCGCTCTTTGATATGCTATTGTGTAAATATTATAATTTCCAACACCTCCGTTATGTAATGTATAGATTAATTTGTGAAAAGGTGTTTTAGAGCAAAAACAAAACACAGATAATGAGACATTGCAGACATGTAGTTAGAAGGTTAACACACCACCACCACCATAAAATTATTTAGCTTCCTCACTTGTCATTGAATCAAGAATTGATTCCAATTATGACCTGGCAGAGACCCAGAGCTCCCGCCAATCTCAACAAGTAAATGATAAGCGGGTTACTTTCATCTCGCAGATTCTTGGAACAGATATCTACATTTTTCTGGACACAAGGTAATAAGACCAAATCCAAATAAAGTGTGTGATGTTTCAGTAACAGCATTGTTACCATCTTCAGACAAAAGAGCTCAATGAGAAATTATACCACAGCATGTTTTAAATAGTTACTGTTAACAACTGTGTAAACTATAACCATACTGTAAACAGAAACTATTTAAAACATGCTGTGGTATAATTTATCATTGAGCTTTTTTGTCTGAAGATGGTAACAACGCTGTTACTGAAACATCACACACTATTTATTTATTTGGTCTTATTACCTTTTTCTGGAAAAGTAGATTATTATCAGTTTTGAGATGAAGGCACAATTTGGATTATAAACACAAGGTAATAAGACCAAATCTAAATAAATAAGCCAGAAAGTTGAGCCAAATGTAAGAGAACAAATGTCAGTATTTGACGCTGATACTTTGGCAAAATACAAGATTAATTCAACAAAAAAATAAGAAAAGATCAAATATGAGAAATAAACTCTGAGAGAATAATTACAAAAACTATAACAAGAATCAAAACAAAACACTATAAAGGAATAACAATACATCCAGATGGCACAAGAACCTACAGAACATGTAACAACTGTCCTGGCGTGGAACTTACATCTACTCACATATTCTCATGTCCAGCAATGGCCGCAGCCTTGCAGAAAATTGACATGGACCCAAAGCATCAGATTTACACACCCAAGATAGAGGACATTGCGACTGCTGTGATAGAGATGTATGGAGACATCTGAGGCTCTTCATTAGACATGACAACAACAAATAAATAAATAGTGTGTGATGTAACAGCGTTATTACCATCTCAGACAAAAGTACTGAATATTCTTTCATCAATGTCATTCAGCAAGTTGCACTCTATTTATTTGGATTCAGTCTTATTACCTTATTTCTAATCTATAATCCACATTCAGTACTTTTGTCTGAAGATGGTAACAATGCTGTTACGTTACACACTATTTATAACTCCGCCTTTGCCGGCCCCAAGCCCAGATGAAAAAGAAGGAGGGGGAGCAGTAACAAGCTCACTAAAAAACCTGGGCTCAGCTGGCCTGGCTGATAGTACCCTGTAAGGGATCCAAAATGAGCAACGTTTGTACTCCATTGTTAGGAGCGGCTGCACATGGTGTCTGTTCCTCATGTCAGAGGCGGCCATTTCTTTTGGAGCTAAGTCGGCCTGCCACTGATTCGTGCTCCCAGTTTTAATGACAAAGGCAGACGCATTCTACTTCACCCAGTCATGATGGTTGTCAAACAAGCTTGATACCCTAATATGATTGAGTGGAGATAAGAAAGAAGAAGACACTATTTATTTATTTGGTCTTATTACCTTGTGTTTATCAGTATCTGTGACAAGTCATTCCTTACCAAATAAGTTTAAAAAAGAGAGAGAAAGAAAAGATTTGAGACTTACCTGGTAAATGACTGAATTGCGCTTAAGCAACTATCTCAGCTCGATGTCT